TCCGTACGAATACATTTATGAGTCCCGAAAAGGAAAAAAGGAACTTGCTCCAAAAATGGAACAAAAGCGCTTAAACGGTTGTGAAACACTATGTAATAACTTACTTTTAAAATGGAGCTGAGAGCTTGTGCCAAACATTGACATCTTCGGGACCATATCAGTCATGGAGGTAGATCAATTTTATTAAAAGGATATAAGTTTCATGAAAGGGAGAAGAGTATATTCCTGTTGTTCTTGCTTAGTCTTTAATTCTGGATGTAATAATGGATGGATTTATTATATAAATTTGAATTCTTGGTTATGTTGCATTGCTGAAAAAGTGCAGAGATGCCAACTTGCTCCAGACAGCAAATCAATATTTTAAAGTGGTAGTTTATCAATTGTGATATTTGGTTTAAACTCAATTTAGTAGATTTTTATCCACCATTATTTCTAATTAATTCGCAAGCTTCTTCTTAGTAGTTATGTCATTCTATACCTTTTACTTAGCTGCCAACTCTTTCCCGGAAGATTTTATTTTCAGATTTAAAGAGCTAGCGAAATTCATGTTATTTCACTAAACTTTTTGAATTATAATAATAATTTTAAATCAGTTTGACCACCACTACATATAAATAATTACAACAAATATATAAAAGCATATTAGTCCTTACGATAGCGAATTTCAACCTGATTAAAATATAAATATATTTTTGGGGAAGATAGTTTTTCGGTAATTGGGTATACTATAGCCTACGTCACAGGTTGTGTTATTCCTACTAAATTTAACCCATGAACGGCATTTTCTGCGAGCCTAACTTCAAGCCACAAATAAACAAACGAAGTGTTTGATCGTTTAAATAGCTGCTCGCCAGATTTTATTGCATTATAAAGAAAAGTAATTGATATTCGATTTTTGATTAATAATTGATTTATGTGGATAGTGGCATAGAATTTAGCATTGCGTCATGGTAAATGTTATTCCTACTAAGTGGAAGTAGTTGTGTTTTTTTATATTATACCCAATTGTTTTACTACCACTTGGAAAATCCATTCTCGAAAAGAGTGAATGTTGGCAGGTAGGCTCTTAAAAAGAAAGCAAAAATAAGTCAAATATTTGCAAAATTCAGTTTGTAGTTATTTACCGATTTTTTAAAAATTCTTTTGGCGTGTCCGGAGCAGTTGGCATCTCTGAAAGTGTGCCGCAATCGGTCTGATGTGCTTGTCTTCTTCAAGGTTTTGTACTGAAAAACAATTATTACAGTTTGATGTACTGCATTTTAGAGCTTTGTCAAAATAATAATAATAATAATTGGTTTAATCTGGCGACGTGCATGTCGAATCTTTCTATTTTAAGATCTATGGAGAACTTTGTTTCGTATGAGCATTAATTATTTTTCTCAGAACTTTATTTTGGAAAGTGACAAGTTTCATAGTTTTTGCTTTTGAAATATTGACCCTTGCTGCTAATGCATAGGTTTGTATAGGTCTACTTGATTATTAATATTTCAGTATTGTTAAAAGCTGTTTGTAATAATAATAATTAAACATTATATCTTAAAATGTAAAATATCTCGTGCAAGGAAAAAAAATTGTTCTTTAGTGTAATTTAAGACACATATAGTTAGCTGAAGCCGTGCCGAAATTAGAATTGTAAAATAAAATGCAGGTTTGAATCACTAAATAGGGTTTCAAGAGTCTCTTGAAAGTATTCAAGTTGTAGTAACCATCAAGTTGTAGTTTGCCTTACCATCTTTCAATAATTTTGCAGCTAAATTTTAATCTTTCCTTCTTCCTTTTTTTTAAGAATTAAAAACTAGTTTTCTTAGTAAAACGCACTAAACCACACATTTCCCCCCCGATCTCTTTTGATACTTCTTTAATTTTTTTTTCTAATCTTCATTCATTTTTAGAACGCCTAATGCAGCAAACGCTAATGTGTCAAACGAACAAGTTGCTTACAGTCCTTAAAAAATTTAAAGTGTGTTAGCAAAACCAGGAAAATAAAATACATTTTATTAAGTTTGAATTTATCTTTATGCTAAATATTTCTAAACAAATATACTCTCTTGTCGCAAAGTGAGTTTAATGGATTTTTAAACCTTTGGCTAATAACTGCGTACTTAAGTAAAGACATGTCTATATCTAGAATCATAGGCGAAAGCAAGAAGGGGAAAAAGAAAATTGGTAGGAAAACCTTTACCAGAGATTCCAATTTGTGTAGGAAAGCGGAAAAATATTACCGAGTGGTAGTCTTTTAATGTATAATTTTTGATTTAGTAAATTTGATTTATAAGGTTTCTACCCACCACTTCTTCGAAATAATTTGAAGGCTTAAGTCATACGCCACTTAGTAACAGCTTTGCTTTCTCACCATCAAGCCTGCTACATCTTTCATGATGCACTTCATTATTTTATCGCATTTCAGGTTCTTTTCCGAACCACCAATACAACTTTCCTATGTATGTCCCTTTGGGATATTTCATGATGAATGGGATAAGGGCCATTTAGGCCTCAGATGCCCAGTTCTAAAACAACGAACGAACGTTCGTTAAAGACTGTTTTTCGAAGGTTCCGTCTTTACCCTTTGCACTCGAGAGGGACAGTCAGTCACCACTCTAAATGTGAATTTTTTTCCCCTTAATGTTTAGTTACCACTTCCTTCAGTGATCTCTGCGTATTATAAGGTAAATTTGTAATAAAATCTTTCAAAATAATAGTGGTTGCGTTTATTTTTTTAACAGCTGAAAGAACTTCGAATGCAAAGTTTTAATATGAATTTATACTTTTTTTGTAAATTATATGCTATTTTTTTAACTGCTGTTAGTTTGCAACTGCTCCTCGTGACTGTTAGGCCAAGTTAAGCCTATCTAAAGCCAGCGCTGTTTACGCATATTTTAAAAATGGCGCAAAACGGCAATGTGGAAAAAAGCCACAGTTTTGTGAAAACGAAAAGCCTTTGTGGTCTAATTTTTTAATATTTAAAAAGAAAGTTTAATGTTGCTTTACTTGAGCTCATAAAAATTTGCAGAAACTGAGAATAAGGCAATGATTTTGATAATTTTCATCTAGGTGGAAAAATATCGCTAAATAGGCGATTTTAAGAAAGTTTGATAACTTTTAAAAAGTCATTTATCTGTTTTAAAGCCCAGAAAATTCTTCACTGCAAGATTAAATATATAGTTTAAAATCATCGCATTGCTTCAAGTGCAAGCCACTTTATTTATGGCTTTTTTATTTTCTTTGGCGACAGAGTTTCGAAAATCAGCGTTAAAAAAACAGTTACCTTCTTCAAAGGAAAAAAAATGTGGTAGTACAGGAATTTCTCAAGATTTATTTTGTAGAAACCAAGCATGGGCATACCTGCCAACTCTCCCGCATTTTGCGGGAGATTTTATTTTCATATTTAAAGTGGTATTAAATATATACTATTTTTTCTTTTATAAATTTAATTTTTAAATGATTTTGATCACCACTATTCTTACAAAAATTAAGCTTATATATATTAATATGCGTTACTATCATGGTTGTCAACTTAATTTTTTGCAAATACAGCGTATTTGTTTAGTTAAAATTGAAGTTTTAATTCCATTTTAATACCACTGGGAAAAATGATAATGGAAGGGATTAAAAGTTGGCAGGTCTGCATGGGTGAAAGCCCTTATATAGCAAGACGGAAAAGAGAAAAACCTGGTACGTAAAACATTTCATTCCAGCATTTTTTTCGAAAAAAATGAAATATCTATAACTATCAAGATTTCTTTTATAATTCTGGCATATATANGCTTTTAAAAACGAAAACTGAAATAACTATTCAGCTGCGGCAATATCATACTATTAAGCTAGGCAGAAGTGAGTAGTCTTTGTCGATAGATCTCTATTTTAGTATTTTGTCGAAAGCGCTTTTTTTTCACGAATTTATATATAACGAATTTATTTGACGATTTTTGATTTATATCACGAATTTATTTGTTTCATTTATTAGTTATTCATTGAAAAATGAGTCTCAGTCAATGAGTCTTTATTTGAATTCAAATTTATTTTAATGACTTAGTATTTACTAAAAAGATGTAATTTTTTTTTAAAAAAAAAGTTGTTATATGGATTAGAATGATTGTTTTGAATTCTTAGAATTTTGTGCATTTGCAATGCACCTAAGTTAGTAGCGAGCTTGGTTTGCGAGGCAAACCATATAAGATTGCGTAGCAATTTTCGGGGGTTGGCGAGCGTTAGCGAGCAGGGGGCGCAGCCCACTAGTTACTACTATTATTTGAAAGTTTTAGGAAAGAAATAATATCCGTAACTACCACATATTATTATTATGTGTATAAGTATTAAAAATATCTATCTGAATGTAATTAGCAGACAATGTACTTACTCATTTGAAATAAGGATTAGGGCGATAGTAAATATATATATCATTATTTGAAAATAATAGTGGTAGTCACAGATAGTTACTTAAAAAATATTATTGAAATATGTTTGATGTACATTGATAATGTTGACAATCGACTTTTTCAAAATATAACACAATTATGATTTTCGTTCTACTTCTTACATTTCTACAGTAAAATGAAACTTCATTGTTTACATACTATTGTACTTTGGAAAGACTTTTCTATTAACGAAACATTTTAATTGTCTTTTTCAGCTTTGTTACAGGTTTTGTCAAATACTAGTCACTAAAAATTATTGTTATTATCAAAAATGAAATTAATCTTTCTATTTATACAACTGAAGTAAAATAATGACTTATGTCATTGACATAGATAATCCGTTGTATTAATACAAAACATCTGCGGAATATCATTCTTATAGTTTTGGTTTATTGAGACAAATTGGGGCTAAATACGTCTATGATTGACATATGACAAATTGGTATAGTAACAATTATACGGATTGATTAGACGAAAGTCCATTACATTCGGACCTTCTGACAATTTTCCAACTACATCCAATCACAAAAGACCGCCATTTAAAAATCGTTATGACGTAATGTGAAACGTCAGAAGACAATCTACGAATGGTAGAAAGTCCTTATAAAGCGGGCATACGAGGAGATGAGGGTAAAAGAATTTTTCTTTCGTTTTCAAGTCAGAAAATTCGATCCCTTGTTATTGTGAATAACATTTTTTTACTTCGAGGCGAAACGGTGAGTATTTTTTTTTTTTTCTATTATTGATCGGTATTTTTTTTATTTTTTAATTAATGGAGTAAAATTCTTCGCAGTTTCGTTAAAATGAGTTCTTTTGATATTACTTTTTTTAATTCTTTTCTTTTCCTTTTAAATTACAAAACATATTAAAACATCGTCTGCACTGAATTTTCATTGCCCAGACGATAATTCCTAACATTTTCCCTTTCTGTTTCAGTCTGTATAGAAAAAAACTTTTTTTTTTTTAAAATTTGAAGTAGATAAAATTTTATTTACGTATTTATTACTATATTTTTTTGTCAAATTGAAAAAAAAACGTAAGTCGTCCGGAATGGGCCTAAAGTGTAATTTTTTGGGTAAGTTTAATTATCTTAAAAAGCGTAACTAAGAAATAAATAGTAAATTTCAATATGTAAAGTAACAGTAAGATCAATGAGTTCGAAATATAAATTTATCGCTTCCAAATTCTACACAAAAACTCTAAGGCAGTGATAAAATTCAGTATATTAATAAGAAAATTAAATAGATATATTATTGTTTTACCAATAAATTGGGCTTTGAAATTTGATAAAGATTTCAGAAAGTAATAAAGATGAATACGAATGCACATCTGTCAACTTTTTCTCATTCCAATAACTATCTCTTCAAATGGTAGTGAAATAGGGATTAAAAAAATAGACAAAGAAGTTTTATATCTTCAAGAATTCGCCCTTGCTATTTTACTATTATCTGACATTTGTATAGACTTATATACAAATGTCAGATGTGGCGGTCAAAATCATAATAAATTAAATTTATGAAACCAGAAATTAAATGAAAAAAAATACAAGTTATGTATCACTTTTTATATTAAAATAAAATCATGAAGAAAATCCATAATATTTAAATTACAAAGATATCAACTTGTTCCGCTTTGCAAAACAGTAATTTCTAGTGGTAGCGAAATTTAAGTTATTTGGAGTTCAGTATTTTATTTTATCACCACTAAATGTCAAAAATTATAAGTATGATATAAACTGCAACGTTAAAGCATCAAACTACTGGTTACTATATTATAAAACTAAGCGTTACTATCTTTCTTTAACGAATTTTACTATGTAATTTGCTACCACTTTATTAAAACTATTCCAGAAAGCGGAGCAGTTTGCATCCCTGAAAATACTATACAAAATAATTATTCATATAAAATGAATGAAATAATTGATAACGTTTAAGTATTCTGGCAAAAATTTTATTTTTATATTTAATGTGGTATTAAATTTTGTACTTTCTTTGTACGGAATTTTTAAATTTAGTTAAAAATTATTCTAATCACTAACTGCATATAAAGAAAATTATGTAGGTATGATTATCTTCTTTTGGTATGTGTAGACTCTTGTAAAATATCAAATGTGTTTCTCTTTAGAATTATAATTCAATTTCTCTTTTACTACCACTGAGGAAAGAATAAATGTTGGCTGGTATTAAATGGTAACAAAACAAACAGTTACGATACCAGCCTTTGTTTAACCTCTTCAAGACGAGTGAGTCACACAGAGTTGCCAACTGCTCCGGACACACCAAAATAATTTTTAAAAAAATGATAAATAACTACAAAGTAAATTTTGCAAATATTTGACTATTTTTGCTTGCTTTTTAAAAGTCATAGCATTACATTAATTCCATAAAGTGGTGAATTATATAAGCCTACGAATTATTTAGAAATAGTGGTGGATAAAAATCTACTAAATTGAATTTATTAAACCAAGAATCACAATTGATAAACTACCACTTTAAAATATATATTTGCTGCCCGGAGCAAGTTGGTATCTCTGGTCACCTATGCATTCTCAGTCTGTGTATAATCAGGGTAAAAAAAGATAAAAATGGTAGACAAACTATTTTTTATAGTAGTTTATATGTAGGCGAGGTAATAATAGTTTGCTTTATTTAATTCACCACTACTTAGTTCGAATTTAAAAGTATACTGTTATACTTTTAACACACTAGAATTGGATGTGTTAGATTTAAAGTGAAAGCAAAAATAATTCTGTCAAATTAGTTATGACCAATCGTAAGCTACCGCTTTTTATTTTTTACTATCCTTTCCGAACGAATACATGAGTCGCCCGTCCCGAAAAGGTTAAAGGGAACTTATTCCAAGTATAGAACAAAAGCGCTTAAACGGTTGTGAAACACTTTGTAATAAGGAATTTTAAAATGAAGCTGGGAGCTTGTGCCAAACACTGACACCATCCATCGGTACCATATAGGTCATGGTGGATAAATTTTATTAAAAAGATATAAGTTTCCTGGGAGAAGAGGATATCGCTGTTCTTTTTGCTTAGTTTTTAATTATAGATGTAATAATGGATGGATTTAATATATAAATTTGAATTTTTGGTTATGTTATATTGCTGAAAAAGTGCACCGCAAACGGTCTGATGTCTTTGTCTTCTTCAAGGTTTTGGTACGGAAAAACAATCATTACAGCTTGATGTACTGCATTGTAGAGCTTTGTCAAAATAATAATAATAATTGGTTCAATCTGGCGATGTGCATGTCGAATCTTTCTATTTTAAGATCTATGGAGAACTTTGTTTCGTATGAACTATCTTGCATTAGTTATTTTTCTCAGAACTTTATTTTGGAAAGTGACAAGTTTCATAGTTTTGGTTTTTGAAATATTACCCCTTGCTGCTGATGCATATGTTTGTATAGGTCTACTTGATTATTAATATTTCAGTAATGTTAAAAGATGTTTGTGATAATAGTAATTAAACATTCTATCTTAAAATGTAAATTTTTATAACATATATTATAAAAATTAAGTTTTAGTAATGTTAAAAGATAATATTATAATGTATTTAGTAATGCTTTTTTTATACTGGCAGGGAATTGAAATATCTAAAACTTCAAATATTAAACCATTGCCGCTGACGTAGCGTTTGCGTAAAAAAGTGTTTGTGTATCAGCGCTTAGTTAACAATTTCTAATGTTATTAGCATTTTTGAAAAATATTATAAATGCATAATTTCAGAACAAAAACAACTGCTTAAACTGCTTAAACAATAAAAACTAACAAAACTAACTTTTTGTCTGAATGTGAAAGTTCTTAAAGAACATATAGGTTTGAATGCATATTTTTAAACTTGTCTGCTCCTTCAAAAATAGCACTTGAGGCAACAACAAAAAAAACGTGACTTAATGTATTAACTTCTTTCAATCATTTCCTATATAACAGAGAAAAGTGGGGACACTTAATATTCACTCGATTGAATTTTAAAAATTTCTGGGAAAGGATATATAAATAAATTGGACAAAACTGTAGCTTGTAGAGAAAACTGATGGCAGATTTGAAATCAGCGACACGAAAATATTTAAAATCCGGTCAAATATCTCGCGCAAGAAAAGAAAAAAAATTGTTCCTTAGTGTAATTTTAGACACATATAGTTAGCTAATACTATGCCCAAAATGAGAATTGTAAAGTAAAATGAAGGTTTAAATCACTAAATAGGGTTTCAAGGGTCTGGAAAGTATTCAAGTTATAGTAAACTAATAATCAAAACAAGCAAAAAGTTTCTGAGTTTGCCTTACCAGCTTTCAATAATTTTTGTAGCTAAATTTTATTCTTCTCTTCTTTTTTTTTTTAAGAATGAAAAACTAGTTTTCTTAGTAGAACGCATTAAACCACACATTTTTTCCCCCTTATCTCTTTTGGTACTTCTTTAATTTTTTTTCTAATCTTCATTCATTTTTAGAACGCCTAATGCAGCAAACGCTAATGTGTCAAAAGAACAAGTTGCTTACAGTTCTTAAAAAATTTAAAATGTGGCAACAAAACTAGGAAAATAAAATACATCTTATTGAGTTTGAATTTACCTTTATGCTAAATATTTCTAAACAAATATACTATCTTGTCGCGAAGTGAGTTTAATGGATTTTTAAACCTCTGGCTAACTTAAGGCTAACTCTGGCTAACTGCTTACTTAAGTAGCGACGTGTCTTATCTAAAATCATGGGTGAAAGCGAGACGGAAAAGAAGAAAAATTCGTAGGAAAACCATTACCGGAGATGCCAATATGTGCAGGAAAGCGGAAAAGTATTACCGAGTTGGTAGTCTTTTAATGTATAATTTTTAGTTTAGTAAATTCGATTTACACGATTTTTACTCACCACTAAAGTAAATAATTTGAAGGCTTAAGTCGTACGCTACTTGGTAACAGTTGAGTCTTGTCGAGCATTTAAAAAGTTGTTGTTGCATATGCCTATTAAGGCAGAGAGGTGCCATCTATGGCCAAGAATCCGACTTTTGCCACACCCATACGTCACACCCGTTTATAGGGCGGATCCATTCATACATCCAATCGTTCATCCACATATCGTAATTTACACCTGAATCAGAGAACGATCAATCTACAATTAATTATCCCCAGAGATATTGATTTTTTATGGGAACATGGAGGACTTTGCGACTCGACAGATTTAACGTGCATCAGTCACAATTTTACTACACGGTGAGTTTTCGGCCGGTTGGGTTCGAACTCACTAACTCTCTAAAATGGGCCCAGCGGCCTACCGACCAGGCTTATCCCGGCCCATTTTTAAAAAGTTAACAAAATTAACCAAAGATCGGTAATTTACAGTTTGTAGTTGTCTACCGTTTTTTAAGATATTTTGTGGTATCTGGAGCAATTGGCATCCCTGCATTTCAGTTATAACTAGTTTTCGGGAAGATTAGATTTATTTATTTTTCTCCAACCTATTCAACAATGCTTACCCTTTCTCGGAAAAGAAGCAGTTTTATACATATAGATATGCTACTAGGATACGACTTGCTCCGCTTCGTAAAAAAATATTTCTAGTGGTAGAGAAATTTAAGTTATTTTTTGTTCAGTAACTCTTATTTTAAGCAATTTTTCTACAACTCCGTATAAAAAATTTAAAGTATTACATGAAATGCAACTTGTTTGCAATTACCACTTATAAAAAGTGGACGTAATTATCCTTATTCTAC